GAAGAATAGAGAAGGGATTGTGGCATGGGCATCCCCTCTGGGGGGTGATCTCTTGCTTTCTGTCTCGTTCTGGTGAGTACATGCACTCTATAGTAAAAATCTCTTAAAGACGCTTGCCTCTTTTTAAGTTCATTTACTCTTTTTTTCCCCCTATTGAGAGAAAGAGAAGAAAAGAGGGGCATGTACCCCCAACAGGAATTCCACCCAGCCTCAGGCAGCCTACCTGCCATGGTGGGCACACTTGCACTCGGGATATACAAGGAGGCCCCAGGGATGCAAACCTAGGACCTGCCCGGGCAGGCCTAGCATTACAGAGCACTGTGTTAGGTCTGGCACTGCAGATCGCTGTGTTAGAGTGCTGTGTTAGAGCGCTGTGTTAGAGTGCTGTGTTAGAGCACTGTTAAAGCACTGAATGTGAGCGCTGTGTTAGAGCACTGTTAGAGCGCTGTGTTAGAGCGCTGTGTTAGGTCTGGCGATGCAGATCACTGTGTTAGAGCGCTGTGTTAGAGCGCTGTGTTAGAGCACTGTTAGAGCGCTGTGTTAGAGTGCTATTAGGTCTGGCACTGCAGAGTACTGTGTTAGAGCGCTGTGTTAGAGTGCTATTAGGTCTGGCACTGCAGAGTACTGTGTTAGAGCGCTGTGTTAGAGTGCTATTAGGTCTGGCACTGCAGAGTACTGTGTTAGAGCGCTGTGTTAGAGTACTGTGTTAGAGCGCTGTGTTAGAGTGCTATTAGGTCTGGCACTGCAGAGTGGAGTGCTGTGTTGGTGTGGTGCATGGGGCGCTGTGCTGGGTCTGGTGCTACAGAGCACTGTGTTACTGCTGTCCCACCGTCTGGCCCATTTGATGCTTTAAACAACTCACTGTGCTGGAAAGGATGGCACCTCAGTTCAGTAGGACCAGGGCCTCCTGCTGCTCTGAGTGAATGTAACCCAGGTTGGCGCTTGCTGGCGTCCTGGCTCCTAATGGGCTGCACCTTCAGTGGCCAGCATCATGTCCGGGTTGTCTCTGGCAAACCTCAGCGGTCTGTGCTGCCTTGCAGGAACGGGGAAGCAACTTCTCAGTGTTTCTTAGCTAGATGTGAACTCGTCTGCAGCATACAGAATGATCTCAAGGGAGCTGTTTGTATTTGGATTAATAAAAGGGAGGAGTAGGTCTTCATAGCCCCTTTCCAGTTCAGAGGTCTTCTCAGAGATTTCATTTTAGTGTAAAGTTAAAGAGAAGAAAACTGTTAAACTTCTCAAGTTCTCCTTCTTAGATAACAAAATCAAAGATTTATTGTCAAACTCCCATAGATTGCTGATACAGATAAGGCCCCTTTTAAGTGAATTTTAAATTATTTTGATTATTGTATTGATCTTCATGTATAGAGAGACTGACTGACTTAATACTGAGATTAATTCATGTAAAATGTCTCTTCTCGAGGCATTGCTTATAATACCCTAATTCCCCGAGGTAAAAATTCACACTAGTTATCCCTCTTCCTGTCAGGCGGCCTGACAGCAGACAGGAAAACGTAACCTGAAGAAGTCATTCATCCTCCTCACTGTTCCTAATCTGTAAGAACAGGCTCAGCGTCTGCCTTCTGCCCCTCACCGGGCCCTTCTTGGAGGCCAAGCAGCCCTGCTGAGGGAGAAGAGACCCAGAGGCCCAGCCAGCCCTGGACCTGCCTTGGCCTTGGGCAAGTTACCCACATTTTCTGGGACTCTCTTCCCTGCCTCCTGTACGGGAGACTTGGCAGGGGGACTGCAATGTACAAGCTGAGTTCAAGGATTGGGTTTTCCCCAACGCCTGGCGTAGGCTAAGCCTTTTTCTGTAGTACAATATCTTTTTCATTTGAGCTGCACTTGAGCTCTCCCTGATATTTTAACAGCCCACAGGGCATAACAAACACAGCAGTTTCAAGACTGCTGTTTCTAGAGAAGCCGATTTGATTCTTCTTTCTGGAGTTCCCGTCTGGGCTCTTCTCTAGGTGGGCTTCGGCACTTTGTGACCTGCAGTACTTACGTTAGGCTCACAGAGTTCTCCGCGCGCCCCAGCTGTTGCCGTGGTCCTCCCTTCCCTAGGTCCTGGGTCCCAGGAGCCCCAACGGTAGGCGGGGCTGGGCACCGGTGCTCTGTGTTGGGCACGCAGGGCAAGAAGGAGTGAGGGCCTCGGGGCCACCTTGCATGTGTGAGTAGAGTGAGAGCGTAGGAGAG